TATTAAATCTTTGAAATTAATTAAGTCTGAGAATAAGATTGTATTTCATGTTCTGCAGCTCTCACACTCAGATATAGCAAGATCATTCTCTGAAGTGTAAGGGAACTCTTACTCTTGCAGATAATACTAAATATTAGTTATTAAACAATCTTATATATTAGAAATTCTTCACTTAGCAGACCTCTTTTAGTCTTTGAATTATATAATTATCAATATATTGTGTAGAAGCTTCTGTATCTGCTAACACTTTTACAGTCATCTCTCAATTCTTATTCAAGTGTTCTTTACACATAAACATTTCAGATCTTAAGACATTGAGATAAGTATCTGCTTCATCATTCTCATCTGCATGTTATTCAGAAGTCTGCCTTCTCTTGATATTTGCAGGATTTAGAGAGTCATCTAACACAGGCATCTCTTTCACTTTGAAGACTTTTTATAGAATATCAGTGAGTGTCTCTGAGCTTACTGATTCTGCTAGTTTTTTGACTTTCTTGCTTCTCTTGACTGTGCATGCTGTGTGTAATTCTTTGCATCATGATTTTAGCATCTGCAGTTGAAGCAAGCTTGATACTTATAATATCAAGATTTTCATTCAGAGAATCTCTTTTTTGAGAGATTCAGTGCTTTAGTAATGACATTCAAATCTAGATTCATTGTGTCTGAGTGTATGACTTATGTTATAGAAGTCTGATTATTCATTCTCTACTAAGACATACTTGATTATAGTATTTTCTATTACAATTGACTTACTTACTTCTGTATAATGAGAATATTATATACTTCTTTCACTGTGTCTGATTATAAGGTTAAACATTTTTATTTCACTCTCAACTCAGATATAAGACTATGAATAAAGATCTGTAAACAGAAAGATGTTGAAAGCTCTTTATTCAATGTAAGATAGTGTAAGCTGAAGTGTGTGAAGTATAATATAAGATTACTCACTTATCTACACTCAGTGAAGTATTTATATCACTTATCTCATATGTTCACTTTCTCAAAGTGGTATAAGATTCATTTGAAAAACTCATTTCATGTTCATAGAAATGAATATCACTACAGATCTGTGAGATTCATCTTTTCACTGATTATTTATAATAACTTCACTTTTTCATGTAGAAACACAGCAGATCTTAAGACTTGTTAAAATTTCATTAACTGTCTGTCTGTGAGTTCATGTTCAATCTGATAATATAATTATATCTGACTTAGTCAGCTGATTGCAGTATTATTTTTTCAGTTATCATTGAAGCTTAGTGACTCTGACAGATCTTCTGACTTAAAATATTTCATGTTTGAATTCTCCTTCTGCACAGCAGTCTCAGATAATGTGTATACTTCTAAGCAAGTTATCAATGATTGTGATGAAATCTTCAGCTTCAGTGTAATTATCTGTCTATGTAAATATTTGATCTCTTATTACAGGTCTATGACCTGATTTTCTCTATTCTTATTAATGATAATGATGACATCAGTGAAGCTCTTCATAGTAAATACTGGATCTGCAGTGAATATCAATTGTTGCTTAGCTTGTGTCTCAGCCTGTCACTGTGTACACAAATTGCTTTACTTTTTTCTTTCTATTCTTTTCTACCTATCTATTTAATGTGTCTATCTTTAAGACTGTGTTCTCTTTTCTTTTGTCATGTCAAATGGTTTCAAAGTATCAGAAGATGTTAAAATACTGCAATTTGTAAACAGTTTTTATATACTGAGCTGGAATTTTCTGATTTTGCATATCTGAAATCGGTGAATGTATAATAGTTAACTTTATAGATATAGAAAAAACCCTGAGAACTTTTAGTTCTCAGGTAGATGTCATAGTCTCTGACTGCATACATCTATAATTGAAGAATAAGAATAATAATAATAATAACTGTGTACACAAGGCCTTGATCTTATTTAGAGTTCTTGTACACATACAGAGTTTCACTTCTGATTTAGTGATCTCAGCTGCTTTTCTTACTGCTTTGAGTAAATTCTCTGAGAGATTCTGCATATTTTCCAGTCCAGATAGAAGAGAAGAGTGTTTATATTAACTAGAAGAGATGTTCATTTCAGTAATTTCTCATTAATTGCATAATATCTATTGTTATATTATTATATCATTATATTATTATATGATTATATTGTTATATGATTTCTGATTTCTGTTTTCTGTTATTATTATATAACTTTGATGATGATTATCTCTCTTTTATTCTTCTGAGTAGAGAGCATTCTTCTTTGAATCTGATTCACTACTTGTATTTCCTTTCTCACATCTCATCTGTTCACATATGTGGCATTTGCCTGAGTGTGAAGTTTTTCCTCAACAAGCAGAGTAACATCAATCAGATGCTCTTTCACTCACTGCTTCTTTGTACACTATTCATAAGACACCGCTCCACCACAAACTCGCTCGATTTTTTGAATAAGAACCCGCCGATAGATCCATCGAAAAGCCCTCAATCATACGAGCATTTTGACCCCATCGCTGACCGCATACCCCGTGTGGTGGTGGAGTTATCCAGCCAAACGTGAACCAGACGTTGTTTGAAACTCCTGTGTGGGATTATCCCCCGTTCTCCCCTACCACACCACAACCCCGGGCCAAATTGCCATACAAATTGTAAGGTGAAAAGACCTAGCCATATGCACCAATCTTCTCAATTTTGAAAGATCCCCGATCTGTAATTGTGGAGATATCAGAGAAGCGACATCCGCGAAAACCCTGTCCATCTTTGATGTTCCAAAACATCAACGCCAAGTCTCACCCTCGTACCGCCCTTCTCAATCTGGCCCATCCCCGGCAGAAAAATACAAAAAGATACCTCAGCAATAATATCAAGCACATAATCAACAGACACTTCTGAAGTGCAACCTCCGTGAATACCCTGTCTGTCTTCAGTGTATCTAGACATCAACGCCAAGTCTCACCCTTGTACCGCCCCTCTCAATCTGGCTCATCCTCAGGAGAACAATACAAAAAGATACCTTAGCAACAGTACTTGATATATAACTGGTGGACAATAAGTCAACAGAATAAGTCAACAGCACATCAACAACTATAAATTCAGTATATCTCAAGATCTGACTGAGCCTTTGATCCCTGCACAGTGAGATATATTAAATCTAGTTTTAATATCTCAATATTCAATAGATTCTGCAAGGAATTGAGAACAGCAATACTAGATTTCTATTGAATTTGAGAATTAAATCTATAGTAATATAATCATTGACAAAGTCTTCTATTTTGAGATATAAATAACCAGTTCCTTCACATCTCACTAATAATATTTATATTATCATATAGAAACAGACTTATATTCTCTATAATATCAAGACTCTGAAGAGAGAAAGTCTTGATAGAGAGTAGACTGATCGTGTGACCATGTCTGAGATCAGGACCAGATTTTTTGATAGTCTCATTACCAATTCGACTGATCTCATTACACAGTTTTAACATTAGATAGTAGTCTCATACTGTCTCAGTGAGACTTACTGTCTACTCTTGTCACATTTTCCAAATGAGACCATGATTTCCACTTCTCAATTTAAATTATTTTTATTGCTTTAAATGACTTTAAATCTCATTTGAGTGTTACCAAAAAGCGTTACTTTTTAAAAAATTAAAAATAGTCTAAAAAAACCTTAAAATGTCTAAAAATAGTCACTTTATGCCAAGAATGGGACTAAATGGGATCAAATGAGATCACTTTCTCATTTTTTTCAAGTCATGGTTCCATTTTAAGATCTGATATATAGTCACTTTACATGTTTTTTTGATAGCCAGTCCCAGCGGGATTCACGCCAAGAAATGTATGAGATCAGATCAAATGGAATCAAACGTGAAATTCATGATTCAGGCGGCCAGTCTAATAGAGAGTATACAGTAGTGTATATCTTAGCAGTTTCTATCTCATTCTTCTATATCAGTTAATGCAAAAAAAAAAAATGATCTTACAAATAGTTTTTTACTTCTCTTGAAAAAGTAAGGTGTTTTTCTCTGAGTTTTACACAATATTCTTACAAAGAATTAAAAACAGAGTTGTTTTCTGTCATAATTTCATATTCTTTTAAGTAAGAATTACTTTTTCAGTGACTGAAGAGCTTTCATTAATACTTAATTCTCTTTTACACTCTTTTTTAACTGATTTGAGTTGCACACTTGTTATGTGAGAAGAATTGAATGATTTAGAATAAAATTGAATAGTTTTAATCAATTTCTCTGCAAAAAATTGACTTATTTTTTGTCAGTTTTTCTCTTAAAAACTGTCATATTATCTGATTTATTATCAATTGATATCATACTTTTCCTCACTGTATCTCAAGAAAGAGTTTGTAAAGATTTTATTAATTTATCTTAAAAATCAATTTTAGTTTATTAGATTCTCTTCAAAAATCTAACCTAGTTACTGAACTAGTGTGAAAAGAAATCAGGTGTTTTATACACAAAAGTCTTTCATTCTTCTTTTGAAACAGTTCGATCAACTTTTTAATTGAAAATAGACTAATAAATCTCTCAACTGAAACAGTCTGATCAACTTTTCATTTGAAAATAGATTAATAAACCTCTCAATTGAAACAGTCTGACCAACTTTTCATTTGAAAATAGACTGATAAATCTCTCAATTGAAACAGTCTGATCAACTTTTCATTCAGTGAGTAAAATGAGTTCAAGAGTACACTCAGTTAATGTGAAAAAAGATGTTTTCCCAGATGCTGTTGTTGAGATTGAAATTCTAAAGAGAAGAAAGAAGGAAGAAATAGAGAAACAACAAGTTCTTGAAATACAGAAACTGGAAAAAGCAAGTAAAATTCTTGGAAAACAGTGTCTGAGTGAGAAGAATGAAGAAGTTCTGTTAATTCTTCATACTCAGGCTAGACAACTATAAGAAGTGATCAAGTTCAAACTTGAAATTTCAAATATAATTCAAAAATCATTGAAATCTTTAAGTACAGTCACTGACTCTTTTCCATCTTTCACTTCTTCATCTTCTTCTTCAAATCAGAAGAAAATATATGCTCAAGTAGCAGAATCTGCTGTCTCTAAACCTGCTAGTTCAAAATCTACTCAAAATTCTGAGAAAACTGAGAAGAATATTACTCAGACCTCTGTTCACAAAAAGAAAAAAAAAGAAATGCATAAAGAGAAGAACTTTCAAATCTTCAGAAATAGAAGACTTATTCTCAAAGTCTTAAATCACAAGATCTGACAAAAAAACAAGTTAAACTCAAATCTCATTTTCAGAACTAGAAATGAAATTAATCAGCAGTTCTTTTCTCAGTTAATGACTGATATTGAAGATTGAAAATCAGTCATAGCTTCAATTGAGTTATCTTTCTTTGAAAATTCTATTATTTTGACTACAATGCCTGAATTCAGAGCAGAATTTCTCATTCAGAATGAGACTCTCTGAAAATCAGTAATAGAATCTCTACTGAATACAACAATTCTATCTGAGAGAGATGAAAAGTGAAATAAATTCATTCTTCATAATATTTCAGTTGAAATTTTTGACTGTGAAGAAGAAATGCTACTTCTCAAAAATGAATTAGAAGAATACAACTCTATTCAACTGAGAAAAGAGCCTGTATGACTAAATTCAATTGAGTTCAGACAAAGCAGAAGAAATGCCTCTGTTCTAGTATATACAAAGACACTTAAACAGTCAAAGATCTCTGAAGTAAGAGTAGCAGATTTGAAAATGAGAGTTTATGAATACAAAGACTCAAGAATGAATCTTAAAGCTCAAACACAGTGTTCAAACTGTCAAAGATATGAACACTTTGTAATCTCTTATTTCTGAGACTCAAAATGCGTCTTCTATACTAGAGATCACAAAACTAGTCAGCATAAATATGAAACATGCTTAAAAAGAGATGAAATATGTCAACATACTCTGCTTAAGTGCTTTAATTGTAAAGAAAAACATGCATCTAGCTCAAAAGAATGTGTATTTGCTTCAAGAACTCAGAAAAACTGACAAAAAGATGAAGCTCAAAGTGAATCTAAAACTGAAGAGAAAAGTCAAGCTAGTAAATCTGCAACTGCAAGCTCAAAAAGAAGAAACTCTCAACTATCTAGATCTTCAAACTTCAATTCTTCAGCTAAATGTAAACCGAATTTTAATTCTCAAACATCTGTTAAGATTAGAGAATTGAGAAATGACTCTGATGATAAACTAGATACAATGTAAGCAGTTGAGATTCCTGCTTTTCAAAATAGTTATAATCTACTATCTGCTAATAGTGATTAGATTCTACTCTATCTTCACTCTCTTTTAGTATGAATGTACAACAAAAATAATAAAAAAAGTTTAAAAACTCTTCAAAAATCACATTTATTTAAAACAATGTGAATAGAAACTCAAATTGCATTTATTCTTGTGTTCAGATTGTATTTGAATAAAAAGTTGACTTTGTACTTCTTCAAGAATCAAATATTGATACTGAGCAAAAGTACATTATTTCTTATTCAAGCTATTACTACTTTCTTTCTGAAAAATCTGAGATAAAATCAAGAGTAGTGATCTATAGAAGAGAAAGATCAAGATATCAATTTAATCTAAGATTTGATATCATATCTGACTCTGATATTCTAGTGAGTGACATTATAGATAAAGATAATGAGTTTGATACTATTCAACTTATAAATATCTATAATGAAAAGTCATTGAAAGAAAATAACAATATCTGAACAATTGACAGAGAATTTTTGAATATAAGTCTCTTAAAAAACTCTATAATTGCAGAAGACTTCAATACACATTATCTCTGATGAAACTCAGAGTGCATAAGAGCAGTAAGAGTAGATAAACTGATTGAATGAACTTTTGAGCATTTAATAGATTTAGTTAACAAGTCTGATCAATAAACATTCTTTAGAAAAGACATGAAACAGAAATCTATTATATATCTAACTTTCATGTCACAAAATCTAATTGAAAAAAGACTTATAAACTGATCTATTGATTCAAATGAAATCTCAGAATCAGATCATGAGATCATTCAATTTGATATTGAACTGAGTGAAAAACAAAGAAGTGAAAATCCTCTTCTCTCTAATCAGTATAACTTTGAAAAAGCTGATTGAAAAGTAGTTGAAGAAAGAGTAAAACAGCTGAAATCTGAAAGACAGAGTGAGCTCTATTGAAATCAAAATCAAGATATCTCAAATGAAATGCTTGAAAATAGAGTAAAGCTGATTACATCTATTCTTCTAACAAGTATTGAAGAAAATATTTCAAAGAAAAAGTCTTCTGAGTATTTCAAATCTTGATGAAATGAGAATATCACTTCTAAAAGAAAGCAATTAGTCACTGCTAGAAGAGATTGAAAGAATAACTTAATATTTGATAAAGAGTTCAAAGCTATTCAAAATGAATATTTTTCAGATATTAAAAAAGCTAAAACAGATTACTGAAACAAATTTCTTAAAGAAGTATAAGAAAAAGAAGTTTTTAAAGCCTTTAACTATACTAAAATAAGAAGTGTAGTAAAGCTTTCAATGATAGAATATGAATTTCAGAATGAATTGTATACAGCAAACTCTTTTGAGAAAAAATGTCAAGCTTTTATAAGAATTCTCTTTTAAAACTCATCACATTTAGAAGAGAAGAATATGTCATTTCATGAATATATTGATGAAAATAACTGGAAATGATCTGAGCTTACATGTGATGAACTAGAGTCAGTAATATTCTCAAGTTCAATTAAAACTGCTACAGGGCCTGATTCAATTAATTACTTAATTATTCAAGATACAAATTCCTACTTGAACAATGAATATTTTGAGCTCTTTTTCAATCTCTTAAAAATTGATTATCATTCTGAATGCTGGAGAGAAGCTACTGAAGTAATCCTTGCAAAGTCTAATAGAAAAGTGTTAATTTCTAAGTTATATAGAGTAATATCTCTGTTGAACTGTTTGAAAAAAATTCTAGAAAAGATAATAGCTACTAGATTATCTTTTATAAGCTCTATTAGTGATTCTCTTCTATTTAATGAATAAATGAGAGATAGAAAACAATGTTCTGCAATTAATACTCTTCTCTCAGTTATTTATAATATTCAAGTAGCAAAGCATGAAGACCTGATCTCAACTGCAGTTTTTATTGATATAAAAGATACATTTGATCATGTTTCAAAGTCTAAGATAATTCAAACTTTGAAGATATTAAAACTGTCACTTTCTCTAATAAAATGAGTTAATTGTTTCACATCTAAAAGAATTATACAACTATTCTTTGATGAAAGAAAACAAGATGAAACTGAGATAAAAATAGAAGTATCACAAGAATCTTCAATCTCATCTGTTTTATTTGCAATATACACGGCATATCTATTCAAGAATAGAGAGATGAAAATAGTGAGAACTTCAAGTTATGTAGATGATATTGATCTACTCTACAGTTCAAAGACAATTAAAGAGAATTTAGAAGTGATTGAGAAAGCAGTAAAGAAAATCTTTGTTAGAGCAGATATCAATCTAATTTAATTTGATATGAATAAAACTGAGTTAATTTACTTTTTTCTCAGATTTAATGAGAAAGAACTAAGTCTAACTCTTTTGAATACAGAGATTAAACCCAGTTTGAATGTCAAATGACTAGAAGTATGATTAAACTCCAAGTTGAATTTTAAATATCATATTCAACAAAGAATCATCAAGGCAGAGAGACTACTGAATAGTATAATCAGACTATCAAATACTGAGAGAGGTCTATTCTTTCAGGCTATGAGACAGTTATACATAGCCTGTATTATCTCAGTAGCTGATTATGAAGTTCAAGTTTGATGAAATAATCAAGATAACTTCACTGAACTCTTTCAAAGTCTATAAAACAGATCTTTGAGAAGAATTCTGAAAGTATTCAAATCATCTCCTATTAAAGCAATGAAAATTGAAGCTTCAATTTCATCTTCTACTATTCAATTTGAAAAGGCCTGTATGAAATATGCTCTGAGAGTCATGAAGATGAGCTCAAATCATATAATCAGAGAAAGAGTCTCTTCTTCATTTTCATCAGTTAACTCAGAAAATAAACTGAATTGAAATAGATTTCTTGATTGAAATGAGAATAATACTTTAAAGAAAATGTTCTCTCAACTGTGTAGACTATATTCACTTATTAAGAATCAATTTTCTTCATTAAATATTGAGAAAATTGATCATGAGAAGATATCTCTCTGAAGAGAAAAACTGAAATCTCTCATAGACTTATAAATAAGTGAACTATCTAAAGAGAGAGAATATGAACAGCATTTGAAGAAGATCTCTACAATCAATATAAAAGACTCTATTCTGATTCACTCAGATGACTCAAAAAATGAGAATTTGAATAGATTAGATACAGGCATTGCTTATACTGAAGATAATATCAATTTTATCTCAGATTTCTGAAATTTAGACTGTGAATCTGAAGTCTTTGATGCTGAACTATTTGTAATAGTGAAAGCTTTCAAACTCATTGAAATAAAATCTCATAAAAGAGGAAATAGTTTGAAAGAGATATGAATATTCTCTGATAGTCAAGCTACTTTAAAAAGACTTAGAAATAGTCAGATTTATAATGATCAAATGAATCTTAAACTGATTGTAAACTCTGTTTTAAAAATTCAAAAGAGAAGAACATCAAAACTGATAATTCATCTGCATTGAGTTCCTGCTCATATGAATATTCATGACAATGAATTGGCTGATTCAGCTGTAAAAAATAGTTCAGAATTAAGCAGATCTATTCAAAAAACAGTGTCCTGATCTTTCATAAAGAGAAAGATAAAAGAATTCTGTTTAAACAAGTGAAATGAAAGCTGACAGAAACAAAAGAAGAGTATACATTATTCAAGATTTGAGACAAAATCAAAGTGAAAATCTTGTTCAATTAAATGTACAAAGAAAATATTCTCATCTATAATTCAACTGAAACTAGGACATGGTTATTTCAAATCCTATATACAAAGATTTGATGATAGATTTGATTCAACAGAGTGCTCATTCTGCAATGCAAATGAAAATTCTGAGTATATTGTAATGCATTGTGTATTATACAATAGTCTCAGAGTCAGATGAAAGAAGAAGTATGATTTAAATCAATTAAATATGAGGTTCTTATTCTCAACTGAGACAGGAATTAAGTACTTAATAGACTTTCTATCAGAAACTCAAGCAGCTACAAGAAAATGACTGAAT